AAAAAAAAAAAAAAAAAAAAAAAAGGAAAATACTTGAAAGACTTGTTCATTTAATTTATCTTAGGGAAGTTTCATGCTAAATAGCTAAATAGTAATTACTTCTTTAAAGTATGAAAAACTTTACAGCCTTGAAATAATATAAAAATTGCTATACTTTGTATTTGTTTAGATGGGCCAATTATATAGTCATACATAAAATAAGTGAGTTTCCTTCCACCTATAGTACAAAGGCCAGGAACTATTTCTTTCATGGAAGGAAAGAAGGAAGGGAGGGAAGGAGGGAGGAAGGAAGGAAGAAAGAAAGAAAGAAAGAAAGGAAGGAAGGAAGAAAGAAAGAAAGAAAGAAAGGAAGGAAGAGAGGAAAGGTTATGCGTTTTCTGAAGAATTTAGAAAAGCAGCCAGAAAAGCTGCATGGCTGGGTCCTGGTGAGGAAAAGTCCAGAATCTCATTAAAGGACTAATTATTCTTCCTATCTCTTTAGCTTGTCTTAAGGTGAACCTGCCTTCCTAGGGGTGGTCCTTTGGCTAGATGACTGATCAGTTCCAATTGGAATGTTAGGTCTCTACCCAGGCCAGAGAATCTATTCTCTTGACTGGAAGGAGTTTTTTCTTAATGGAATTTTCTTTATTTAACTTTGGGTTTATCTTGCTGCTTTATGATGGTTTTCAATTTTACGGACTGTTCATTTTTCTATTATCAAAAAGGGTGATTTGACTGTTTATATCCAATGAAAATACAATTTTCTTTGCTCTCATTCTTCTAGTGCAGTTAAAAGATCACATTTGATAATTCAGTATTAAGTATTTGTATAGTATATTATAGTTCTATTTTAGTACACATTTGGAGGAGAAGTTAAAAATCATATCCTGAGGGGCTAGCCACCAAGCCCATGACCTGAGTTCAATCCCTAGTACCCACATGGTGGAAGGAGCGAACCAACTCCCACAGGTTGTCCTCGGACTGCCACATGAGTGTTGTGGTACACAGGTACCCATACACAAAATAAATATTTTTTTTGGTCTTTTTGAGACAGGGTCGCCCTGTAGCCCCAGCTGACCTGGAACACACTATTGTAGACCAGGCTGGACTTGAACTCACAGAGATCCACTTGCCTCTGCCTCTTGAGTGCTGCAATTAAAGGCATGCACCACCATGCTCAGCATAAAAGATAAAATATATCTTAAAATTGTCTCCTAAACTGGGGATGTAGCTCAGTTGATAGAGTGCTTGCTGAGCATGCATAAAGCCCTAGGTTCAGTTCCCAGCAGTGCATAAAACCTGTTGTGGTGGCACAGAGCCTTTTAATCCCAGCACTCAGGAGGTAGAGGCAGGAGGGTCAAAAGTTCAGGGTCATCTTCAACTACATTCAAGTTGCAGGCCAGCCTGGGATACATGAGAACTTGCCTTAAAAATAAGTAAATTGGCACTCCTATCCTCAGGCCTCTTGGGGTAAGTCTATAGCACAGCCCTCTGTGCCTTGACTCCCAAAGCCACATTCACCCTTCCATCTCCCCCTGCTGCTGTTCGTAACTCCCAGTTTGGGACCTGCGCCATTCCTAGTCTTGGGGCCCCAGACACCTGGGGAACCAATACTGCTTCCTGAACCTTCTCGCCCAGACCAACTTAGTGCCTTTCTTGGGCCCCAGGAGAACAGCTTCTGGTCCTGGCCCCGCCCTCACCTCTCTCTGCATCCCTGGACCTGCACCACCGGCTAACTCTCCTACCCTGCACTACTATCCTCAGGCCTCTTGGGGTAAGTCTATAGCGCAGCCCTCTGCGCCTTGACTCCCCAAGCCACATTCACCCTTCCATCTCCCCCGCTGTTC